AATTTTTATAAAATTTTATTGTGTCAAATTCACTGAATGAAGTGCAAATAATCGTTGCTATCATGTAAGAAACACTGTTAGTGATAATAAAATCAATATTAAAATTTGTGAGTTCTAATAAGTTCTTCGGAAACTATCGAAGTCCCTTTTTGATTTCCCAAAGAGAACAAAGCAGGTATTTATGAAATGGCAACATAATGGAAGGGATGTTTTTGACCCAATTAATAGAATGCGTTATTTTTAATCTTTTTTTGATCTCGGTAAAGTAATAATGTAGGTACTTAATTCTTTCAAATTTTCATTAACATTAAAACTGATGATCAAACGTTTCTTTGGAAAATATGTCCTATTTTTATTCCGTGTGGTAAATGGCGACACTATTTTTCCGAATTTGTTTTATTTTGTGTTTTTAGTGCATTTTGGTAGCACTTTATTTTTTCTTATATCTTATTCTTTGTGCAAGTTATTGTGAGAATCAGTCTAGTTGATCAACTGTCATAGGCCTTATAGGTTTGTTGTGACAGCTTTGTCAAAGATGGGACTTTAACTGTTTCCATTTTAAAGTTCTTGTAAAAATTTTCAATATGTGTTTTCAGTGGTTGCTTATTAATTTTTTAATTTGTTTTCTTAAGCTTAAGTGCAGTTAGTTGGACTTTTTTAGTCCCTAAGGGTATATTATAATATCATTGCTTAATATTTTATTGTTATTATTATTAGGTCTTATTTATGGTAACATTTTGTGGCTCTTAGAGTCTTATTCTTATATTTAAGTTTTGCTAATTGTTACTTCGGCAGTTGTTCATTTAGTTGCAGTTAGTTGTTACGTAACCTAAGCCCCATTGGTCTATTATGGTACGACTGTTTAACTGGAGATTTAAATGGTCTTGCTTATGGAACCATTTTACGACTCTTATAAAGTTTTTGTTTAGTCATTTATGAAGGAAAAGACTATTTTACTTAATTTAGTTTATCTAGTTTATCTGGCAGAGAGGTTTAGAACAAATAGTGAATTACAACAACAAAAATTCTATATATATTTTATTTTATTAAGTGAATTTTTGGCTGACCAAACAGCTGTTTCGAGTACTGCTAAATACTCATCATTAGTGGTCTTGGAATTCTTTATTAAATTTCATTTTTCGTAAATAATTTTTTGAGACTGTAAAGACCAAGTGTTGAACTAATACCCTGTCAAATTTGAAGCTCAGAATTTGTCTTGATTTATATGTTCACACTTGGAGTTTTGTTAATTTGACTCTCAGCTTCTAATTTGGCATGGTACTAGTTCAACTCTTGGTACTTGCAGACTCAAAAAATTATTTAGCAAGAGCTCCTATGCTAGAAGGATAACAGTAAGTAACTAAGTACAGTGTCATCTAAACCTTTTTTAACCTGGTGTGTCCATTGTATTCATTGTGATATCCGATTAATATCGGACATTAGCTATGTACTTATTGAGCTAGTTGAGGATGTACAGTCTGAAATTCCTTTTCTTATTTTAAATATTGTTCACTGTCATTTGAAAGTTGGATATTTATTTTTCAATTAGTTTCATTATGTTTACTTACTTACTTACTGCATTCCTCTTTTCCTAGTGGAGTACAGGGTCTCATTATGTTTAAGTGCACTTAAGTAGTTGTGTTTCATTGAAATATGAAAATAATAATAATTGCAATGGGATAACTTTCTAAAAATATAATTTGTTAAGTCTAGTTTAATTACTGCAATAAATGTTAAGGATTTTCTCTCATTCTTGTTTATATACAATTAAAAAATGTTCTTCTATTATAGCTAAGATGTCTGTTTGCTATTAAAAATCAATGCAGAAACTATTTAAAATCTTCTCAGTGTTGTAATCTATGATTTGTTTGAGAAGAAAATTAACTAATTTCGCAAATAAATTACTTTTTGCAACACCAACAAAGGCATTCACAATAGCTAAAGCGAGGCACGCTTCTCTGGCGCCACCAGTGAACACACCTACAAATAATATCACAATAATATTAAGTATAATAATAATAAAGCCAACGACAATGACAAAAACAGTGATGAGGATGATGTTGATGGAGAGGATGCGAAACTGAATGTGAACGCACCAAGGACGATATTGCAAACAAGTTTGAAAGGAACTCTAGGCGAATTTCCTTGAAGCCTGCAGTTCGCCCGTAGCCATTATTATTCGATGTATTTTATTTCAACTTAGTGATTATTTTTGTGTATTTCAATGATTTGCTGGTAGCAACAAAAGTGATGTGGCTGCGGTATTCACAGTGGCATTGATGGCATTGGTGGCAGTGGTGGTAGCGGTGACAGTGGTAGTGGTAGTCATTGACAAATTCAATCATTTTCCCATTACAAGCAAACATTCATTGTTTTGCCGAGTGGATCGAATTGTAGGTTGTAAAATAGGTGTCGACGTCGACGATGACAAGGCACGTAAGTAATTCCAGCCTTGCCAGAACATATCGTATACAATGAACTCTACCTGCCACCGTTTCCACACAAACTTCGCCTGCTACCTGTTAAATGCACAAGTGGCGTAATGGACGAACTTCCCTGCCACACAGCAGCCCCGAAGCGTAAAGCTTTCCGAAGGAATACAATTGATTGCTGGTGATTTGTACACTAACAATTCGAGAGTTTAATTTTACAATGCTAACAACTTTACGGTGCATGATAAAGTGGAGTGAAGGTGGAAGTGAGTTGTGTATGAAATTGAAATTCGGGGGTCTTGAAGGCAATACACGTGGTTTATGTGTGGCAATGAGCAGAAAGGACAAATTTTGAAAAAATTTAAAAAAATTTTAAAAATTTTGAAATGAAAAATGACAGAATAGGTGCGAAATTTGTTTGTTCGTAAGCTTTTAATGTGGGGATTATGCCAGTAAACAGAAATACAATTTGTCTCCTTCAGAGTTGTTAACATTTAGCAGAGCTGTTAGGGGCGAGGTCCGTGCAAAGTGGTATGAGTAAATAAAGAAATGAGCATAATTTAAAAATCCAGAAAGCAAGTAAATGAAAATAAAAAATTTGTTTATTTTTCAACTCATATGTCAACTGCAGTGATTTTTCTCTGCCTGTCTGATGAAAAACATGTAATAAATTTTGATGTGTAAACATTTTTTGAAATTTTTGCAGAAAATAAACAAAAAGATTATTAAAGCAATTTATTTCCAAAATGCTATTTTTTGTCAAAAATATTATTTTCAATTTAAATATTGTAGCTTATTATAGCTTGAAAAATGACTTTAATTTTAGTAAGTACATTACGTTTTTCTTCAACTCCTCCAACTCCTCTAACTCTTTCCATTGTCTTTTAAAGTTCTTCACAAACTTCGTTTAGACAGTAAACTTTTCTTATTTCAAATTAACCAATTTGTTTCTATGATAGTTAAAAAGTAGTTAAAATAACTTAATGTGCGGCATGCAGTTCATTAATCCCTAATTTTGCGGCGGCATATAACTTTGCTTGCCACTGTGGCCAGTGGCATATCCTTATGGTATTGTGCTCATGTTCGGTGCTGCCTTTACCCAAATGTTTCCTAATGGAATTCAATCAATTTTCATTTATTCCAATACCCAGTATCACATGCCACATTTGGAGTGGTTGCTTACAAAAGACAATAATGCCGAGCTAATGTAATGCAGCTAGGGACGAATTTCAAGTGGAATAGATACAATGTATATTCTCGTACATGCGCTAGCAGGAAGGAAGGAAGGAAGCGTAGAGCAGCTGGGGACCTTATTGTTAATTGTCTAGGGTGATTGGTATTGGTATTGGAAGCTCTTATGTTCAAGAATTTTATTAATATTTTACATAGACAGACAAATGATTTTGGCAAATGAGATATTTTGGCCATTATGTGGCATAAGAAACGAATCACGTTTAAAAGTTAAGAAGTTTTCAAAGTTTTAATATATGGCAGAAGCAATTTCAATTAATTTAACAAAAAAATGCATGAATACATTTCGTAATTGCATAAGAAACTTTAAATACAAAAAAAATAAATTAAGAAAATTCTGGAATAAAATTACGATTAAATTGCCAAAACGCAAGTTTTTATGAGATCAACGAACTGAGGTTGAGAAAGACAATTCAAAAAGATACTTAATTTTTGAAATTGTAAGATTTAATTTCAAAAAGGTCTTATGAATATTCCCCATTATTAAGAAAAACAAATTTAAGACGAACTAAACTTGAAACAATGAGATATATTTCGAGAAATGTCTTATGAATATTCCAGATTAAGCGGATTGAGAAGGACCATATCTAAAAAATGCCAAACTTAAAATTATAAGATATATTTTTTAAAAAAAGCTGGGAATGGAATTTGTAGCAGGTAAGTCAGGAGCCACCATCTAAACAAATGGCGAAAGTATCTATTCGAGATACTCTGTAGAATCAATACTAGTTATAAACTTTAATTTCGATTATTAAAGTAATAGTAAAATATATAAAGTATTATTGCGGAGAATGGTATTGCGATCTGGAAATTCCAACTATTTCTATAGAGTAAACCTAAAAATTCTAATCTAGTTTCGTTGCCCCCAAGAAAGCAAGAATGTCAGCTGGGTTAAGTATTGCTAATTTTTTACCTCCATAGAAACATGGACGCTATCACTGAAAGATTGAATACCACTGTAAATTTTCGGTAGACAAAAGGAGCTGACAAAGCTCTAGCAAAGCTCTAGTTATTTGAAACGGCAGTTGGAAGGAAAGTGTATGTAATATCTCCACTGCAGTGAACAATTTAAGGAAGTACTAACCACGTTTTATTATTTCTGTTATTATCTGTTTAAACGCCAATACCTATTACTGATAATGCATACTGAAGATATATTTTAAACTTATCGAGTCTTAAATCCATGCTGCGATGCATGGATTAATATTGAAAAAAAAACATTTTCTAGTTCCAATTATAGGAAATAGAATTTTCCATCTAACATACAATAAATTAATTGTCAAAACCAAACAATTTGATTACAATAATCAAAACAAATTTTTTAAACTAAATATGTGTAAATTTTTCGGTTAGCGTAGGGCCAAATTATTCATTTCTTTCGAAGTCTTTGTCAAAATTCTAAGTTTAAAATTAAAATAAAATTTGAAAAATGGCAGATACCAAAGATCCCAAGGCATCGGCACCGAGGCCACAGAAACCAATACCGAACGCAATGAAATTTACGTTAGGTGGATTAGCAGGAATGTGTGCAACATGTTTTGTACAACCTTTCGATGTCATCAAAACACGTATGCAGGTATCCAGTTCTTCTGGTGGTCAAAAAGATAGTTCCTTGCAAGTTGCTTCATCAATCTTCAAGGACCAAGGCATACCTGGCTTATATAAAGGTCTTAGTGCTGGTTTACTTCGCCAAGCTACCTATTCCACAGCCCGATTGGGTATGTACAGTTATTTGAACGGCCTTTATAGCGCACATGTTGCACCTAAGCCCACAGTATTGGCGAGTATGGGTATGGGCGTAATCGCTGGTTCGATTGGAGCATTTGTAGGAACACCAGCAGAGGTGGCTTTGATTAGAATGCAAGCAGATGGGCGCTTACCCCCAGCTGAGCGCAGAAATTATAAAAATGTCTTCAATGCTTTAATACGTATTGTGAAGGAGGAAAATGTAATGGCATTATATAGAGGATGTATACCGACAACTGCACGAGGTGCCGTCGTGAATATGACGCAATTGGCTTCATATTCACAATTTAAGTTACTTTTTAATTCATTAGGCTTGAAAGAAGGTATTCCATTACATATAAGTGCAAGTATGATGTCCGGATTCCTTACAACATTAGCCTCCATGCCCCTTGATATGGCCAAAACTCGTATACAAAATATGAAGAATAACGAATACAGCGGTACACTTGACGTGCTGATGAAAGTTGCGAAGCAGGAAGGTGTCCTTTCACTTTGGAAGGGCATGTTGCCATACTTCTTTCGACTCGGTCCTCATACCGTGCTTACGTTCGTGTTTTTGGAACAATTTACTCAATTTTATTCAGTTCATATACTCGGTAACGATAGTAAGGGATCTGGTATATAACAAAATTGTTCGGTTTGCATGTTTCGGCAATTATTGTGAATACTACGTTTTAGAAATTGTTATTAAATTTTTTGTGAATAATTGTGGATATATTTTAGTCAAATTTTTAGGTGTTATAAATATATATAAAAAAATTAAAAACAAATATCATTCGTTTTCATTGTCATAGATTTTCATAACCGAGTTTGTGGTAACGGAGTGGTGCTTATACCTATGCCATTTGGACAGCCAAGAAAGCACTGCTGCCACTGAAACTAAGATATATTTTGTGCTTGCTAATATGGAAGAAAATCCATCGATAACATTGTTGTGGATAATAGCAATGATTAAAAAGTTTTAATTATAATAGAAAAATTCCGTTTTGAATGGATAAGTAGATAATAGCAAGAAATCTTTCAAATAATTTCTAAAGTATAATAATTTTAGTGCTTTAATATTGCTTTCTGAGATATATTTGCTAGCGTTTTTCTTTAGCTTTTTAAGGCACAACTAAAATTGTGGAGATATTTCTATCCATATGATTAGTATTAATCTGGATTCTTTAACGATAGTACTGCAAACATTCGGTGAATCCAATATATGTATAGATAGAACGTTTTATTATAACGTAAAGCTGCCGTTATATATGTGATTTAGAATGTGGAACGATTTTTATTTCAAATCTGAAAATAACATAGAACATTTTTAGAAACCTAGTTAAACTGGATTTAACTAGCATAACCATTCACAAGTGGTGTAACCGGGTAGAGCCCTAGTATAATAGAACAGTTTTTCGTATATAGTTGATCAATAACTCGATCGGGAATAGATTAAGACTTTTTTGGTTGCAGCTAAAGTAAATGAAATCCCTTCGTGGATATATATACAGTAAAAGACTATTGTAGAACGATTGGCCCAGTGTCAGTGTCAACAGCCAATGTTAAAACTCGCATAATTATAATAATAATAAATACAAAATCAAATTAATTTAGATTTCTTTAATTATTCAAACAACCTATTTGAAGATATTGTGAATTAATTATTTGGTAAAGATCACTAAAAGCTATATGTACAGCAAATGGATTTTTATGAGTGGTTGGCTAAACAAAACAAGTTCTTATTCCTGTTCTGTTCGTATAATTACACCAAATAAAAAAATTTAAATGTTATTTTCTGTAGTCATATTTTATTTTTGCATCCATTTTAGCACATTCAGATAATTGTGTTGTAAGTTTCAATATGAAACAGAAATTCCTAACACATTTTCCCCCTTGAAAGAGAATTATATAAAGAAAGTCACTATCCTATATTTAAGAATAGATCCAGACTAAACAACAAGGTGCGGAGAGGAATCTACTTTCATAGTCTGAATATAGAGAAATCCTTCCGACTGCCCGATCCACGCACGATATACCAAGCGGAATGCCTTGCTATTAAAAGACAGTATACTAAAATATGTCAAGTGTTCCGAAGGGAAAGCATATACATAAAAAGCACGGAACTAAGACCGAATTAGTGCTCTGTTTTTAATAGCACTAAGTTCTAAATTGCCATAAATTCCCGAGGAGCTCTTTTACGTAGTGGGACAACTCCTAGTATGGGTGCCAGTAGACTGTGTATTTAAAATAAATACATGGCAGATAAACTTGCTAGATCATATACTACCGCTGAAATTCTTCTCGAAAAGGATATAGTACGAGTACGTAAACTAGTGTACCGCAGTTCTGATGTTCTGATTGTCAAACAGAAAAAACTCTATGTTACTTCTAAATGCATCTCTGTGTTTAGAACATGGTTAGTAAACTAGTTTGAGTTTCAAAAGCAATGTTATTGCACTGAAGTGCGTATTGGAACTAGTTTCATTTTTAATGTGTTTTAACGAAAGAAATTCTTCAGACTCAATATTGCTCTTTACAAAAAAACAGTTATTTGATTTATTTAACGTATAAGTTGCTTGCATAAATTTCTTGAAAAAATTTCAACTCTGTTATACAACATTTTATAAATATTACACTACACATGGATTCGAAAGTTAAAAAAAAAATTTTTTTTAGGTATTTACCAAATAAAATATTTACACTACTCTTTTATATCTTTCATGCTATAATAATCTTGATTTTCTGGTCAATTGAGTTTGAAAAAGTACTAGAGTGCACACAGCAAGCTTTTGACTCATCCCGGCAATCGAAGTCAATTCGTGAAATAATATGGATGGCAATGTACTTGCACAAGGTTATGCATACAACATGAAAGCACCATTTCAAGTCCATTTCAAGTTCAAGTGAAAAATAATTTCTCCAACAGAAACTCCACTATTTCGAATTGCGCCTTTCTTTTCTTCCTTCTAATGTTTCTAGTCTTGCTGGTCAACGTAATAAATTACTTATTTCCACCGACTTAAGCTATTTTGTCAGACCAAATCGGTAAGAATTATTGCTATTCTATTTTTCTTTCTATTTTTACTTAATTAGTTGATAAGTTAATTGTGAAGCTAGTTTTTAATTCATGTGTGATTTTAATAAGGGTATCATGAGATACTTTATTTAGTGTTAGGAGTTTTTTAATAAATAATCATAAACAACTAAATTCAATTAAATAGAATGATTCGATTTTATTCTGCAGTCGTAAGAGACTTGAAATAAATAGAAATAATTATTAACATGCGCTTCTATACCATGTTATTGTTGTTGGAAATCAAACTAGTTCAGCTTACTGAACGAGTTTGAGACACATATATGAATTTTTGGTGCTTGATAGTCATTACTTCAATATTTTTGACATGTTGTAAATGTTATCGTTTCAAAATTTCCACTAAGAGACGTGGATAGCTAAGCCCATTGGTCCCAATTTGGCTTTCCAGAACAAATAACGATAGTGTGATGTCTGTAAAACGTTGTAAGTTATAATTGTTAATATATGTGAAAAATTAAATGTAAAAATCGTTTTCTTTTTCTTTCTTTTTTAACTTATAAAAAAGCATGCAATACAAAACAAACGTCTTTAACTCAAATTACTTGGTCAAGTTGTACAATTTTTCCAGATTAGACTATATAAACACTCACTAACCCATTTATCGTAATAAATGGATTATTAATTCATTAACATATTCGAGTAGTGTACGAGAGCGAGAGTGTCTTAAATTTAATGGAGTTGGTTGGTTGGTTGCAGTGGCAGTCCATTAGATAACTTTTCTGTAATTTTAATTACAATTAGTGATTTTTCGCTTATTTGACACCACATTATTCGCGAAAACCCCTAAGATAGAAGAGTGTTGTCTAAATCTATCCCGTCGACTTTAGATAATTAAATAGATCCTTTATCTTTACCGATAAACAGTCTGATGAACTGTCAAAGAAGTATCTTCCTAAATTATGTGGCTATTTATTTACACATTTATAATTCTCATTTACTTTGGTTTTAGTAATTGTCAGTGGAATTATACTCTTATAAGTTAAATATAGAATGTATAGCATAAGTATTTCTTAAAGAATTTTTATTTAATGTAGATATAGTACTTCTTTGAAGGTTAGTCATATATTGTTCCATATATGCAAGTTTAAAAATATATTGTAGTACTAAACGTAGTTATAGCTAACTAATTTACTTATGGTTTCTATAGCTATGGTCATTAAAATATAGCTTAAAAAAACAAATCCTAAATGTTAAATCAATAAATAAATTAAATAAATTCGGTTAAGTAATTTCTTGTGACCTTTTTATAAAGTAATATTGCCTTGATTCCATACATATGTATAATATGAATATAATAATATGAATTAAAATTAAAATTGGTATCATTTTTAACCATAAATTAACAATTAACAATTGTTGGCATGAGTGTTCCAGTGAGATATTGGATAAGACATATTGGAGTTTATAGAGACATTTGTTCTTAAAGCACAGAGGCATCTTAAAGAAAAAGATTTAATACAATTTTTGGATAATAGGTTTCAGTCAAAGAAAATTAACTATAGTATTTTAAATATCAATACAAAGATATCTTGCTTGAAACTTAAAGTAATAATACAACCAGCATAAGACAAATATATTGTCTTGGAAAGAGACAATAAGTCTGAAATTATTGGAACCGTGTGAACAAGTGGTTTAGAAAATTTAAAAATACAATTCTCTTAATCAATGTGAAAGTTTGAATAATTGAATAATATGATTTTTTCTCTTAATTTTAAATATTTGGTGACTAATTATTATCTGCCTAAGTTTTAACATATTTTAAAAATAAACCCTCTTTTTCAATGCTTTGTTAAAAATAATGAAAACTTATAGTTTATTTAAATTTTAGAAGCCTGATGGAGTTTATTTCATTTAAATAACATTAACTATCAATTTACATACAGAATATTGAGAAATCACAAATTATCTTAATTAGCGCCTATCCATAAACGTGTTAGGTCCTATAAACCTATAACCACTACGAAAAATGCTCTGACTAGAAATCGGTTACACGACCTTTACGTTCCCAGTCACCATAACGTGTAGGTTCGGGTCCAGAAGGTCCGCCAACTTCGCCGGTATGTGGATTAGTATTATTTGGCCACGGCTTGATGATATCTTGCTCCATAAAAGATTGAAGCGATAATTGATCAGTTTCGTCATCTGGGTTTTCAGCACGTAACTTCTTCTGGAATTCAAGTACACGTTTAGAAGGTGTTTTACCCTCACCTTTGGAAGCGGAATCAGGATTAGCATTGTTTGAGGTACACATAAAGCACTTAACTAAAATAAAAATGTAGAGCGCATTTAAAACTATTTATAAATATACAATAGAAAGTGCAAATTTCTGGTATTTGTACCTTGGTGAGCAGATTTTCCCAAAGTAAGAATCTTCTTTTGTTTAATGAGATTTACTAAAGCATCCATTATGCAGTAATACTCGAATATTTCAATTGATATTCGCAGAATTTGGCTTCAATTGTAATTATTAAAAAAGTTAATAATTTTTTTCACCAAATAAATTGTACAATTTCAACGTCTTGTCTTTATTCTGATTTTGAGTTGAATGGTAACAAATATATAATGAAAGTAAAATTTCAATATAGATTTTTTTTGTTTGAATGTCAAAAGTTGATATATTTTTTTAATGTCACAGAGTTGCATTTAAATTTTGATATGATTTGAAAATAGATTATATAGGACCATGTTACATTGACAGACGAAAGGTCACGGTAATGAACGGTCTTTTTGGTCATGAACAAAAGTCTATCTTAGATATCTATGATAGATATTGAATACTGCTGTTCATATTGAATAGCATAGTGCATTGAGAATCCTTTTGATCCGCTACGTTTTGTATTAAAAATATGAATAAAGAAGACGTTCATTAGTATTTACTCTAAACTTCATTTGCCAAATACCTAGCTTAGTCGTTTAAATTTAGAAGATTACTTTATATAAAAAAATTTATTTAGGCAATATTTAGAAGCTGCAACCATTATCAATCGAAATTCTAAGGCTTTCAGTCTGGAAGAAAATTTATGAAATTAAAAAAGTATTTAATGCCGCTCTGGAAGCTATTATTTTTTGTTTACAATTTTAGCAATAAGTTTCGAGGGCTTAAAGTATGCTATTGGGAAATTCGTACTCCTTTTATCTCTGTTATCCTTTATCCTTTAAATTTACTCTCTTTTAAATTTCCACTTTTCGCTTAACTGTTTATTTAATTTGCGTGACTATTTTCCTAAAAATCCCCTTTGGCATTTCGATGTTGATGTTTTGTTTGTTTTATTTTTCTATTTAATTTTGTTTTAAAAATACTTTCAAACATCACCTGCTTTTGAAAACATACATTTTGTGTAGCATACACTTAGGCGTTTAAATACCTCAAAGCAATGGTGAAACAAGGCGAATAAAGCAAAATGAGAGAATTTATTTAAAAAATAAGCAGGAAATTTTTGCTGATAGTATTTGCTGGTTTCTGATGGCAATGTGCTGCTGGTGCTAGTGCTGGTACTGGTGCTGTTGATGCTATTGGTGCTGCTGGTGGCTTTCAGCAGCGTTTTGCTGTCGAGATATTTTTGTGGCAAATGACCAATATAATCACATTCCAATATTGTTGGCTTATGTGGTAGCTAACGATATTGTAAATTGTTTTTCTGCTGATTACATTTTTGTTGATATTATTGCTATTTGTATTAGCGTTGCTTCTCTACAATGCACGTTGATATTGGCTGTAATGAATGTGTTGTGCTCCATGTATGTTGGTTATACGATATATGGAGCGTCGAGTATGATTGTCTATACAACTTTGTAATTTCTATTGCCATTTAACATAGCAATGCGCTTTGTAAGCTAGCTTCCGTTTCCTGTTTAGTTGGCTTTTTTCTTATGGCACTGCTTCATGCCGCACTATTGTTGCAGCATCTTTATGGGTAATTAAAACTTTTGCACATTTGTTTTCGACTAAGCACGAAATTCTCCATTGCTCCTCCGCCGCAGGATGCGCTGCCTGCTATGTTAGTTGCTAGTTTTTTCCGTTCTTGTTTTTGGGGAAAAGCAATTTATTGCCGTTCGATTATAAATTTTTCCGCTAAAGGATTTTCAACAATTTTCGGCATAGTGTATGGCGTTATTTTTTCATTTGGCTGACAGTGGCCTCCTTACCACACGTTCGCTCTACTCATTGGTGTAACATTATTGAAATATTTATTTGCAATTTCAAGTTTTCGAAATTGAAATTCTTTGCCGATTGTGGGGTGTAAATTTGGTATGCTTTGTTCGAATACATCGCCAATACTTTGCAGATAAATTTTAAGTTTTTGACTCTGAACTGATACTGGTATTATAATTCCTTCCATAGCTTAAATTGTTGTCTCTGTTTAGTTTTAATATATATGTTTTCTTACAAATAGTAGTAATGATCGCAAAATAATTAATAGAGTGATTTTTTTTTAGTGAGAGAGCACACAAAATAAAACACAGTTATTTTTTTAGAGATTTAAATGCCATAGTGACTTACGATACAAATGGCATGATTATACTTATATCTCTAAGAGAATATACCTCACATTATTGAGATATATTGCCATATACTGTTGTTCATACACTGATTATTGTGACTCCAATAGGCTATTTTTTGAGCTCAAGTAGGCAATGACCACAAGGCTGCCTTTTCAACCCACCTCATTGGAAATAAAGAGTATAGCCAATGATATAGTTAACTGACTTAGGTAATACCTGGTAATATCAATACCAATGGTATAAAATGTATCCTAATATCATTGACTCACGTAAGACTAATTAAATATTGACAATATGAATCTTATTCCATGTTCACCCAAATATTAAGAATTCAATTTTGCTGCTTGGTATTTTTAATGTTACCGATTCTTTTGTGCATTTAACGTAAAACAATTTATCATTGCTTGCCATATCAGTAAGTGATGAAAATGTATGTTACTATCAGATATCGTTTACAAGGGTCATAACTTTTTAAGTACACTTGAAAATGATTGAATATAATTATACAATTAAAAGTGACTTTAATACTATTTAATATTAATTCACAAGCTGTAAACAATGCATATGGTTTATACTTCGAATTTCATTGTGTTTACAAGAGTTCACCAAAGTAATGCACCGACAAATTATTTAAATCTTAGCGGGTTTTCTAGATTTAAATGGCGCTGAGAGGATTTCCACACGCCTACATCTTCGTACACCATTTTCCAAATGCGATAAAGTGAAATGCTTAAGGTTCTCAGATTCTTAATTTATCTGACATTTATTCAATGATCATTTGCAATCATTTGTTGTTGTTGTGATTTGAGTTAGTGCTATTGCGTTTATCCCTGTCCCACACTGAGCTGTAGCTATACGAGAATTATTATCATTCATTTATCTTTTAATTGATGCTGTACTCTTGCGATGTTTTCGTCATTAATAGTGTCAGTTTCTTCAATGTAGTTGCTACTGCAAATGATGCCATACAGTTCTTCTAAATTTTACGCAAACATTAGATTTACTTTGATTAAAATAGAGATTTTTCTATTGAAATGATGACCTAGTACATAAGGATTTATTCTGTGATACTTAAAGTCGAGTTTCTGACGACAAAATGCAGTGTATGTCAACTACTGGTAGAAATGTGCGGATGGTGAGCTAATGACTGGCGGCTATGCTTTCAAATCTTTGAAGAGTTCTTCTACCTTGGCTCTGTCTTGACGAATAACAACGAAGTCGGTCTAGAGATCAGACGTATAATCACTATTGCCAATAGGTGCTAATACGGACTCAGTAGAAAATTGGAATGCTTTTCCTTGACAAACTAAACTTACACTCTATAGGTCGCTCATCCTACCTGTGCTTCTGTTTGGCGCAGAAGCATAGACGTTATCGCAAAATGATAAGCAGTACTGCGAGTTTTCGAAAGAAAATTTCTTCGTAAGATCATTAGTCCTCTACAAGTTGGCTACGACTACCGCATTCGAATAAACCACAAACTGTACGAGCTTTATCACGACATTGATATAATTAGCGAACTATCATCCAACAGCTTCGCTGGCTTGATCATGTCGTGAGAATGGATGACGATGCTCCAGCGAAAATGGAATTTGAAGTGGTAGTTAGAGGAGGAAGGCGTAGAAGTAGACCGAGTCTCCGGTAGAGTTATTAAGTTGAAGGAGTACTAACTGAACTTGATGTACGAGAAATGCTGCATCCGGCCGAAACGGGTTTTTGTGGCCATATAAGTTAGTAAGTAAGATTGCTAAGTTTTCCTAATGTCGATCAAATGACCCATGCATCTCAAGGTAGTAGTAAAGGTATTTACATTAAGACCGAAAAGTTTTCGGAAATTCTCATTTAAAATTCGCGCGCTGTATATTTTTCGATATTTTAAGTTTATGTAGTTTGGCAGCAATTAAGGACAATTACTATGCCAAAAATGAGCGCGATCTGTCAGACAGTTCGTTTACGGCAGCTGTTGAAACCAGTTCACCTCAGTAGTGCGTTGCGGAAAAAACAATGGAAAAAAATATTGAACAAAGAGTTTGCATCAAATTTTGTGTTTCGAACGAAATTTCGTGTGCAGAATCGTGGCGAATGCTACAAAAGGCTTATGGGGAATCAGTTTTATCGAAAACTCAAGTTTATGAGTGGTACAAAGCCTTTCAGGACGGTCGTACGACCGTCGAAGACATTTCGCAACGCACTACTGAGGTGAACTGGTTTCAACAGCTGCCGTAAACGAACTGTCTGACAGATCGCGCTCATTTTTGTCATATTAATTAAGGACAGTGCTGCCAAACTACATAAACTTAAAATATCGAAAAATATACAGCGCGCGAATTTTAAATGAGAATTTCCGAAAACTTTTCAGTCTTAATGTATTGCTACTAACTTTACTTAATCAGAATTCATAATTAACAATTTAATTTGGAACGAATATTTTTAATATTTTTATTTAAAAAAATTTTTTTATAGCGCAATGATTATTTCTCTTCATTTTGCGGTCAGGTGATGAAATAAATTATTTAAAACGCTGCTGTATAAATTTTAAAAGTAATGTTTACAATAATAATAATTAATACCTAAAAAAATTATTAAAAATAAAAAAAAACAATAATATTTCAAGTTTAATTTATAAAGAATTGTTGTTAAAATTGATATAATATAAAGCATCTTCTTCATATTCTAGCGTAAAATCGTTCACCGTTTCTATCTATAAAATATCATATTTATACTAGATCATGCTATGATATTTCACTTGAGAAATATGCAGCAATATGCAATTGTTCATACAATATCTATACAAAATCCATATAAAAATCTGGTAAAGAGTTTCGATAAGTCCAAGTGTAAACATCGTTTAAAGGATATTTAAGTGATATAAAGGAATAATTAAGGTCTTTTCTTGATCCTTTTCAATAGTCATTTGGGTTTACTTTAAATTCTATTTCAGCAACTTTAAGTTCCTTAAATTTTTTTGACTAAATTCTTCTTATCCTAGCTCAAGCTTAAGGATATTCATTCGTTTACTAATGTTGTTTGTGTTATTTGAGCAAATAGCACAACTCGCATCAGAATT